AGGACGTTTACCATAATTTTAATAAGAAGCACGCAGGACACTGAAACAATGAACCGACACAAGACACAGAACAGAAGGGGCTTAAATACAAGAGGGCCGGGAGCTAGAGTGATTGGGAAAACGAGAGGCAGGTGGGAGCAGTTAACGAGACACAAGGCTGAAACAAACGGGGAGACAGCACAGGGTGTGACAGTACCCCCCCCCCCCCCCCCTCAAAGGGCGGATTCCAGACGCCCACAGGAACACAGAGCAGGGCCGGAGGAGGGGGACCCGGAGGGAGGGCCGAGAGGGACCGAGGGCCCGACAAAGAGGAGGCAGGGACAAGCAGAGTCCGGAGGCCTGCGTCTGTGGCAGAGAAGGAGGCGACGACGGGCTCTTGGGGGCCTGCGTCTGTGGCAGAGGAGGAGGCGACGAATGGCTCTTGGGGGCCGGCGTTTACGGCAGAGGAGCTCTGCAGGCTGGACAGGGGACAAAGTCCCTTGGACGGGCTGGATGGGAGACAAAGCCTCGTGGAAGAGCTGGACCGGATACAGTGCGACCTCCGGAACCACCACTGGAACTGGAGACGGCATCGACCACGGGACTGGAGATGGCGGAGACGTCAGACTAGAGGGGACGTCGACCTATGGACACGAGGGAGCGTCGATCTCTGGACTGGAAAGAGCGTCGACCTCTGGACACGAGGGAGCGTCAACCTCTGGACACGAGGGAGCATCGATCTCTGGACTGGAAAGAGCGTCGACCTCTGGAGTGGAGAGAGCGTCGACCTCTGGAGCGGCGAGAGCGGCGACCTCTGGAGTGGAGAGAGTGTCGACTTCTGGACTGGATGAGGCGCAGACTTCAGAAGAGTCGCCGACTTCGGATGAGGCGTCGACTTCGGATGAGGCGTTGACTTCAGAGGAGGCGTCGACTTCTGGCCCCGGGGAGTCGACTTTTGGCCCGGGGGCGCCGACTTCAGAGGAGGCGCCGACTTCAGAGGAGGCGTCGACTTCAGAGGAGGAGTCGACTTCTGGCCCGGGGGCGTCGACTTCTGGCCCGAGGGCCTCGACTTCAGAGGGGGCGTCGACTTCTGGCCCGGGGGCGTCGACGTCGCGACTGGAGGTGTCGACCCTTGGACTGGAAGAGGCATTGACCCTTGGACTGGAAGAGGCGTCGGCCCTTGGACTGGAAGAGGCGTCAACCCCTGGACTGGAAGAGGCGTCAACCCCTGGACTGGAAGAGGCGTCGACTCCTGGACGGGAAGAGGCGTCGACCCTTGGACTGGAAGAGGCGTCAACCCCTGGACTGGAAGAGGCGTCGACCCCTGGACGGGAAGAGGCGTCGACCCTTGGACGGGAAGAGGCGTCGACCCTTGGACTGGAAGAGGCATTGACCCTTGGACTGGAAGAGGCGTCGAACCTTGGACTGGAATAGGCGTCGACCCTTGGACTGGAAGAGGCGTCAACCCCTGGACGGGAAGAGGCGTCGACCGTTGGACTGGAAGGGGCGTCGACCCCTGGACGGGAAGAGGCGTCAACCCCTGGACTGGAAGAGGCGTCGACCCCTGGACGGGAAGAGGCGTCGACCCTTGGACTGGAAGAGGCATTGAACCTTGGACTGGAAGAGGCATTGACCCTTGGACTGGAAGAGGCGTCGAACCTTGGACTGGAATAGGCGTCGACCCTTGGACTGGAAGAGGCGTCAACCCCTGGACGGGAAGAGGCGTCGGCCCTTGGACTGGAAGAGGCGTCGAACCTTGGACTGGAATAGGTGTCGACCCTTGGACTGGAAGAGGCGTCAACCCCTGGACTGGAAGAGGCGTCAACCCCTGGACTGGAAGAGGCGTCAACCCCTGGACTGGAAGAGGCGTCGACCCCTGGACGGGAAGAGGCGTCGACCCTTGGACTGGAAGAGGCATTGACCCTTGGACTGGAAGAGGCGTCGAACCTTGGACTGGAATAGGCGTCGACCCTTGGACTGGAAGAGGCGTCAACCCCTGGACGGGAAGAGGCGTCGGCCCTTGGACTGGAAGAGGCGTCGAACCTTGGACTGGAATAGGTGTCGACCCTTGGACTGGAAGAGGCGTCAACCCCTGGACGGGAAGAGGCGTCGACCGTTGGACTGGAAGGGGCGTCGACCACCATCAACTTCTGGACCGGGTGCGTAGACTCCTGGACCGCCGGCTTCTGGACCGCCGGCTTCTGGACCGGAACCGGAACCGTCTTCTTCTTCCTTAAACATCCTTAACACTGAACCACATCTAACTTCTCAGGTGAATTCTTGAACAATCCTCATTCAGGGTCCAGACTCCAACCGCACCACAGCTGGTGTAAATGCTCTTGCTGGACTACAGGTTTTAGGTGTTTCTCTGCTGCCACACACCTGATCTGAATGAATGACTGGTACATAGGTTTCCGCAGCACTTCATGTCATCCTGAGAAGGCCATGCAGATATGTAAGTCAGGTGGGCTGAAGCAGAGACGTGGGAAACGTGCAGGACGGGGGGGCTGGATCAAAGCTGGTTTATTTTTCATTTGGGTAAGAATGAACCATTTTATGTCAAAATTACAGGTTTTACATTCTCTCATACCAGATGAACTTCAGCAGAACATGTAATGTTCGAAACCTATTTAAAAATAAACCTTTCAAGTAGTTTTATGTTGTGATTCATCAAACAAAGCAACACAAAAATCCTCATTAAATAAAATTCAAGCTAAATGTGACGAAAACACTAAATTATAGTTTGAAATAAAGTGAAAAATGTAAAAACAGAAATAACTTTTGTTTCTTTTCTGATTCCTATTCATGTTTTTATTTTTTCATAGAAGTTAAGTGTTGCTTGCTACGTTTTTGGAGGCATTAATAAATAAGTTGGAGGTTTGTTCTTTCTCTGCCTCCGGCTGAGCGCCGCTCTGATCAGCGGGTCTGGGGTTATTAGAGGTCAGACAGGTAAGTGACAGGGAGAGAGGAGCTACACAGTGTAGGGGGTAAATATTGTTGCTTAATATATTACTTTACTTATGACCAATAAGCTGTGATACTCTATATAAATATAAAATATCAACCTGATTGGTCTTTGGATGTTTAACCAGAAGATTCTAGGATTATTTGCTTCTTCAGGGATCAAACCCACTTCGTCTCAATTCAGACAGTCAGGTTTATAAAAGGTAAGAAATTTATTTTCTAAACAAATAAAACCATGTCAGGTTAACCAAGGCTACTGTGATGAATGAATATTAGTGGATGGGATGGGATGTATGTTAATTGGTGTGTGTTCAACAGAACCTTGCATCTAGAAGAACTGGGTGTGAAAAAGAATTTGGTTTGCATTAAACTATGAAGTTGGTTCTTATCAAAACGGCATCAGACACAACCTGTGTGTCTACCTCACCCTTTCTTTCGCGGATCCGGAGGTCAGGGAGGTCGGATGGCCTCTGGGCACCGAGGTTCAGTAGATTAACCGCAGCACCGATGCTCCAGTCCAGAGATGTCGCCGGGCACAACAGGTTGGAACTAGTTTGCGTCTAGAGCAGCTGTTTCTGAATAGCTGAAGGAACCGTTTTGCTGTGTCAGCTGTAGGCAGCTTTTAGCTTGTCGAAAGCTTGTCAAGAGAGGCGGTGGCTAGAGAGTTTTCCTCCGGTGGCCAGTCAGAGTTAGCTCAACTAACAGGATGCTGAATCTCACAGAATGCTGGAATGATGAATCACTCCCCAGTGAATCTGTTTTAATATTCTCATATCATGATTTACTTGGCCAATCAGGACATGCCATGTTAAGGGGTGTTAACAAACCCTCAGAACATCACTCCTTTCAGATACAGGATGCTCTGATTTGTGGCTAAGAAAATATCTATGTGCGGTGATGTTACTTTAACTCATATCTTGTGAACATTGTGTATGAGTGCATGGGCTGCATGGTGACGTAGTGGTTAGCACTGTTGCCTCGCAGCACGAAGGTCGCAAGTTCGAAACTCGGCTGCGGCCTTCTGCATGGAGTTGCGTGTTCTCCCCGTGCATGCGTGGGTTTCCTCCGGGTACTCCGGTTTCCCCCACAGATCACAACATGCCCTATAGGTTATATACTGTAAGTTGCTTTGGATAAAAGCATCTGCCAAATAAATAAACATAAACATGAGTGGTTAATGATTCACTTGTTAAACCAAACATTACTGATCATACCATAATAATATTCATTTCAACCACAGTAACTCAAACAGATTAATCAGCCTTAATTCAAGCACAGATTAATCAACTTTATTAATTCAAGCACAGATTAATCAACCTTATTAATTCAAGCACAGATTAATCAGCCTTATTAGTTCAAGCACAGATTAATCAGCCTTATTAGTTCAAGCACAGATTAATCAAAACAGTTCTTTTAACCATATTGTTCATTTCGTTTCATGATTAATTAACTCATGAGCTGAAAACGCTCACCTTATTCAGAGGCATGAGGAATCCTGTAGAAGCGATAAGGAAAGCTTAAGCCTTCAAACAGGAAGAGTTTGTTGACAACATGTTATCCCGTGTTCAGAGCTGCAGAACCTTCTGGGCTTGTTGGAAGGTAGAATGTAAAATCCACCTTAGACAATGGAAGTCATGTCTGTAGATAACCGGTGGCATGTAGGTCGATCTGTAGGTGAAAACTGACCATTCCTGGACGTTACAACAACCTCGAGCGTTATTAATGGGAGAAACAGCTGCGGATGGAAATTTGTTCTAATTACTGGAGGAGTTTGGAAGTCTGTGCGTTTATCGTGTGTTAAAAAGAGCAGTATTAAAGGGAATTAGTGTTAACGCAGACACGACTTTACTGAATTTACACAATTATTTACTGAAGATGTTTTTCTGTTCATCAGCTGCTGAAACCCAAATTAGGTTCTGTAACCAATGTTACTGGATTAAGTGCATCTGAATCCATGCACTGCAGCGGCAGCCTCTAGTCCAGAGCTGACGCAGTTTGAAAATCCTTTATGCACAGTGGCGCTTGTCCTAAATAGACAATATGATATCAACCATATATTACTGTGCATTACTTTATTGGCATTATAATCAAGCATAACACATTCCAGACCAATATTCATTTTTCACCAGGGCACAGCGAATGCTGTCATCGTCTAGGTAGTGAAATATTATTTTCCTGCATACCCCCTGTAATGTTCTCACGGACCACTAGGGGAACGCGGCCCCCTGGTTGGGAACCACTGCTTTTGACACCCCGGGCTGCCAATATTCAACAGTAAGGTAGACGTGGGCTGAAAGTCCACTGCCCCTTGAAGACTTTGCTGAATTCCAGCAGCTACTTCTCAGAGGGAACACAAGCCCACCAGGCTGTGGAGGAGAAACATCTACCTGGAGCTCTCGCTGTCACATTAGTAAGTAAATAAATAAATAAATAAATAAGGAGAGTTTCTTCAGCCACATACAGGGTTTGGTGTGACAAGCATGTAGGGAAACGACTCAGCCCCCCTCCCCCTCAGCACCTGTATGACAGCGCAGGCTGTCCCATCCTCACAGAGGGGACAACCATCCCTCCCAACACCAGCCTCTCCCCCCAGTCCAACAGTTTGTTCAGGGTGATGCTGAGGGGGGACAGCAGGCCCTGCTTCGTTTGGGAGTCCTCTGCTGGCCTGCAGGAGGTGTTGCTGCTCTGGGCCTTTGCCTTGGGCTTTCCTCTTGCCTCCCAGCTGTGGAGACAGGCAGCTTCTGGAGCCGAGGGGGCAGCCAAAGAGGGGGCAGGAACTCCCAGGGGAGTGAGAGAGAGAGTGAGGCTTTTCCTTTTCTCTAACAGAGAAGCAGGGCCTGATGGGAGTTGTAGTTGTACGGGTTTAATGATCTCACAGGGGTTCCGAGTCCACGGGTTCTGCAGCCCGGCACCGCTCTTGTCTGAAAGTCTCTGGTGGGTTGGGTCAGTCTGCTGCGATGAGGCACCAATGACCTCGTGAAGGGTGGAGGAGTTGGAGTTGGACCTGGGACCGAGGGACAGCTGGTTGTCCTCCCATTGGGAGAAGAAGTCCCCACTATGAGCAGACCTCTGGTTCAGTGTCTTCTGGAAGTGCTGCAGCTGGCCCAGGAAGTTGAAGTTTGGAGAAATTGAAGGACGACGTTCTTTCACAAACCTAATGAAGGGACAGACGGGAAGTAGACGAGTTTGAGCTAACCACAGAGTGACTCAGATCTGAACCTAAAACAGGACAAACAACAACAGACCAGGAACTGGAACAGAGACTGAGATCGGGTCCAGGGACAAAGAGCAGGTACTGGGACCAAGAAAAGAGACTCCTTCCTTCACCCCAGCCCTCCACCTCCACCTGCCTCCTCTGCTTTTACATGGGATCTTTTTCTCAACCTGGTCGTTGTTTCCTAACGAGGCTATAAGTGCACACAGTATTTATGCTCTTTAACTCGTTCACTGCCAATGACCACTAAAGTCGTCATTTGCATTTTTTTACTGTTTGAGCATCAGAACGAGCCCCGCGCTGAGAGAACATCTCAGCCCTGAAGCCGATCTTCATCCGCATACGTCACAGATCACATGATCAGGAAGCAACACATCCATGTGTTAGGAGATCGTTTTGGGCCGTTCCTGTAAAAAAAAATAGTGAGGCACGAACCGGAAAAGCGTCTGCCAATCACAATTCGACAACAGATTATGAAAGAACGGATAATGCTGGAAAAACACGACTTCTTCCTGATGTAAGAGGTGAGTCTCCTCTTTGTTTTGGTTGTTTTAGCATCGACATCATGCTAGCACGCAACGTTCTGTGACTCTTTAAAAAACAGCAAAAACGGTGAGAAACGCTGGCAGCGAAGGCCGTTAGTGATCAGGAAACGGCTGGCAATGAATGAGTTAACGGTGTCCTACTGATGTCCAGCAGCGGACTGAAGGTGTGCTGTGTACCTGTAGGCCCGGTCCAGGTCCAGGTCCAGGTGGAACATGATGTATGCTACAGCCAGAGCTGGAGAGCGAGAGATTCCTGCTGCACAGTGGACCAAAACAGAGGCCCCAGAAGACATGGCTGCATCTGAAAATACACAAATCCTTTTAGCGGCCTAGACTTCCATTCGCATTAAAGGAACATTGCGTAACTTATTTTTTTTAATAGTCTTCAGCCAGTAGGAGCTCAGATGACTCAGCAGGGGTATTCACTTCTGGGACTCATTGGGCCGGTATCCAGCACGTTTTAGTGGTTTCTCTGCTCCAACACACTTGATTTGGGTTGGGGGGGTTCACCAGCTGAGGCATGCCCACCTACTGTTCTGGGCCAGTCCGCCTCTGAGAACATCCAGTCCTTCTGTGTAGCTAGCAGGGAGTCTAATCTAGTTTATTTGTACAGCGCCACATCACAAGAGTCTGGTTGTTTTAGCCCGCATCAACACTAGAACTCCCAGAGAGCTGCCATTTGGCACCGCTGTTTTCACCTAGCATTCGTAATCACTTGTGAACGTTTGCCTTAGTTCTGTAAATCACTTCAGGAGATGCTGGTGCAGAGAGGGAGAGACGGAAGAGCTCGACTGAATTCATACTTTTACATCTTGACATTAGCTGTAAAAACTCTGAGTGTGATAAAGTGAAGCACAATAATTTGCAGAGGATTATAACAGGCGCGGTGCCAGGTTTTCATTTTTGGGTGGGCCACGGTAATTCTGGACGGACCTTAATAAGCAGTGACTTAAGTGAAGCAGGCAGGTCACGCTAGAAAATTTAGTTTAAAAAGACGTCATAAATGTGTTCCCCCGTCATTTTTATTTCTAAAATATGAAGTAAAAACTCCCAATTTAATTTTCATTCATTTGTCATTAATATGTAGTCTACACCCGTGCGTTAAGTGGACCATCTTCCAGTAAACGCAAAGCATCCAGCCCACCTCTCCAAATAAGTAAAATGTGCGTCACAGCCGCTAGTTAGGCGCACCGCGCACACCGTCAGCTACATCAGCCCAGACAAGAGCAGAGCAACTAGAGAAAGAATAGAGGATAATTGTGTCTGGATGTGGATGGAGATTACATTTTACAGCAGCCTGATCATCATTTAAATATGTAAACCATCACCTGTCTTCTAGTCCACGCTATCAGCATTATTTTATCTGGTGTGTGTGTGTGTGTGTGTGTGTGTGTGCGCGCGTGCGTGTGTGTGAGTGTGTGTGCGTGCGTGTGTGTGTGCGTGTGCGTGTCGGCTGACCAATGAAGTGTAGTGCTTGTGGGATCCAGGGCAGAAGATCGTCCCTCAAGGAGTCATCGATGGGCAGGGACGAAATTTTGATTTCAGAAGTGGGGGGGACACAGCAGGCTTGTGCGGATTTGGGGTGGGGGGTGTTATGTAAAGACCCCTTGACACATCACGTGCCCATCTCAATAATTTTTCCATCCTCAATATATATATATATCAAAGTTAAAAAATGTACAACTCTATTATTATTTTTATTTATTATCATTATTGAAGTGCAGTTTTGGCTGTTGACAATGGATAGGCCATTGTATTTATTGTTTTTGGGTCTTTTTTGTTTTTGGTGCAACATTTTCTAACAGGGAGTGAGATTCCTTTTTTATTAAATTTTTGTTTGTTATTTTTATTCATTTAGAAGTTCTGGTTCTGGACATTTCAATGTTAAATGAAGGTTTATTTGTTGCATTTTAAAGGGTGTACTTGCATTATTATGATATATTAACATTATATTAGTGGTTATTTTGGTCTAGATAATGTTGACAATGATATCGTTTATCATCAACAATTTGTTGGACAAAATATCGTCCAGCAAAATTTGTTACTTTCCCAGGCCTAGTCAAAAGTATAAAAATTATTTATACATAAACGGTCCCTCCTGAGATCTGGCCATTTGTTCATTTGCTGTGTTAGAGGACATGCTGAACTAATGTTTTACACATGATCATCACCCTAACATTTGAGTGTATAAAAACATATTAAATATGTTTTTTCCCTTATAAGTGTTTAAACAGTTGTTGCATTTCAACACACAAAAAATAAATGGAAAAAATAAGATAAATCTAATGAAAAGTGTACATCTTTGACATTAAGCTTAAAAAAATCTGTTGACGATGATGATACTGTTCATTTTTCAGAGCTTTTTAATGTGAACATATACATTGCAATAGATAAGTTTACAATAAAGTTAAATGATAAAAGTTTTGAAGTTACACTTCTACTACTACTAGTAATAATAATTATGATGATAATAGTAATAATAAAAAAATAATTATTATAATAATATGAATAAATTGTGTCTGAGGAGTCAGTTATGTGGAGGAGATGAGTTTGTAAAAGTTAGTTTTGAGTATGTTTGTGAAGGAGGAGGTGAGTCTGAGCTTAATGCAGGGGTGTCACATGTTCCAACTTACGTTTTGACTTTGAAAGAAGTCTCTTATATCCACTTTTCGTTTTCTTGACATGCTTCCTCCTGGCTGTGCCTAACTACCAAAGACTCACAAATGAACACTTATTCAAATGTTATGTAATGGAAGCTGAGCTCAGCTCTGATATTACACAGCGTCTAGTTGACGATGTGACTCAGTACCGGTGTTCCCTAGCGGCTCCAAACTAGCAAAACAACGTGAGCACGTTCTGACTGTTTACAACTTGAGTGACAGCAGCAACAGCCAATAATACGTTAGCAAGTATCAGCAGAGCCAATAGATTAGCTTTTGGGCGGGTCTAATAGGAAACCGGTTTCCGTGTCGGTCCTAGTGCTCAACCAAATCCATTTAATGGAGCGTAACATTGTTTTTGGACGGAAAAAAGTGCAGGGGACCAAAACTGCCTTTTGAAAAAGTGGGGGGGACATGTCCCACCCGTCCCCCCCCAAAATTACGTCCCAGTCGATGGGAATCCGTAAGTATCTGGATCCGGGCAGGAAGGAGGGCTGAGGGCTGCAGCGACTCACGCTCAGAACGTAGGAGATACCTAGAGAGGACAGCCGGTCCTACACACACACACACACACACACACACACACACACACACACACACACACACACACACACACACACACACACACACACACACACACACACACACACACACACGTTGTTTTTACATCGAGGTCTTATAGGGTTCATCAGAACCAGAACTTCGAACTCCTACAGACACAACACCGGAAATAAATGGAGCTCAACACGCCGACACCATCTGAACAACACGTGATCGT